CAGTTAAGCAGATTATGAAAATGATTTGATTTTAGCACAGATTACGCTGCTGTACCGAAACAAATAAGAGCAAGAGGTAGAGTGGTACTTTAAAAAGTGAAACTGAAAGTAGAGAAATTATGTTTTTAATCAGTAAATCTTGCAAAGACTGAAAAGTAATGTATAAAAATATGGCAATTCACTGTAAACACAAAATACAATGTAGATAAAAGTGTTAAGTGTAATTCATTTTCTAGCCAATAGAGGGCAAGGTCCTGCTTGGAATGTCTTTCCTGGTGTCTGCATTTGTTTATCCTCATAAAACCTTCGATTGCTTTCCTCTGTGTCATTGTACATGACTGTACAGGTTCATGACACGCCCTGATGTGAAACAGAAGCGCCTCGGAGACTTCTTGGACTGGAGCCTCACCACCATATCCCAGACCAATGATGAGTCAATGAGAGACATTATGGTGCTGGATGGTGCTCTGCAGTCTCTGGTAAAAGCACACATACTCTCTGATCACACTCATGCGCGTGGTGTTTTGCGTGCACGCCTCGCTGTGTATGTTTGAGGCCTGTGTAATCTGTGTGCACTGCTATAATAAAACCTGCAGAGGGTAGTTTACAAGAGCCGACATGACTGGACTCACACAATACCTAATGTGGTTTTTGGCAGGTGTGTAATGCACCTGCTGCATGTGTGGGATCTGCTCTGTCAAGGAATTTATGTCAGTTTAATCCACCGCTTTAAGCTAAACGGTTCTTCAGCAAATGAGAACGGCATTGAGGGTACTTAGCTCCAATGAAATCCACATTACCAACCTGATGCATCTCATTTTACACCTGTTCTCACTGCAAATCTTTATTAATGATGGATGGTACTTTCAAATCACTTCCTGTCAGCTAAGATAATGTAATTCAGCCCCCAAGCAAGTACATTACATTCATATTATTGGCACATAAACTTGCATAACATGTTTAGAAGGCATCACTTTGCACTGTTTGTGTTAGTTAACCTGGCTTCACTCTATGTGGTGCTTAGGGCGTTCAAAACTCTCTGTTCAGTCAACAAGCCTAGAAATACTTGCATATTTCTTTGTGTAGATTAAGCATAAAGTGCTGCAAAGATTCAAAATTTAAGGGTAAAAATAAGTTGTTGCTAGTATGACTTTTTTTTAGAGTAATATGTATTTTTTCAGTTTGTTAGTGAAATACTTACTATTTCTACATCGCTATGCTTTGCAGCTCTTGTGTGTGCGGTGTATTGCATTGATTTGGTCATCTTATTTATGTCCCCTAGGCGAAGCTTTTCAAACATGGAAAAAGAGATGACCTCCTACAGTATGGTAGGTTATGTTTATCTGTAGTAAATTAATGAATCAAGACATTGCTGTCTAATCTTCACGTGGAGGTCAAAGCAAAAAAATAATTTCCTGACCTCGAGTTAATGAAGTGTGTGATTGTCACATTTGTAGTCTTTGTTCAGTTGCTTTTGCATGTGGCAACAGTCAATTGTGTTCACAAATCTTTATCTAAATGTCCCCTGCCAGAGGGGAGATATTTGAATTCAGACAGCAGGTGACATTTCACTTTAAAAGTAACAACAGAGCCATACATGAATATGATCTTTGCTATTGAATGCACACTTCTGACTACATGCAGTATGGCACTTTCTTTCTTTAGGGACAGTCCAGTCAGAGCTGGTTTGTGGATGTTTTTGATGCCGTTGCTATGACATGCAAACATACTCTATGTAAATATTGAAATCTTTGAATTTTCAACATTGTGAGAATTGTTTTCAGACTAAAAGGCATGGCAAAATATCTTTCTTTGCCTGTAGCCAGATACCTCCAAAAATATGTGTAGTCCTATATGTATTTGTCTGTTTAATTGTTATAATATTATTACTACAGTTGTTATTAATATTTGTTTCCCAGCTCCTACAATCCTGCAGTGTTTGGAGCAGAAACATCTGTCCGAGAGCAGCCAGGCCATGCTGAGGAGGCTCGGTGTCAAACTAATCCAGAGACTTGGCCTCACCTTCCTGAAGCCACGTTTGGCGGCTTGGAGGTCAGATATAATGCCAGCTAGTTATATATAATGTTACATACCCTCAACGCAAATACTATTGTTAATACTGAAACAAATGGTTCCCTCTTCAGTTTGGAATAGTTTAATATTAGATATCTTTTCAGCTAGTTTTTTCACAGTGAGCAATGTCAGATATATCTAGGATACATATATTCTGGATCAGACAGAAGCACAGAGCTTGAGTGCCTTAAAAAAATAGTTTGTGTATGTTTTTCAGGTACCAGAGAGGCAGCCGCTCCCTAGCAGCAAACCTCTCCATGTCCCAGTCCACTGTAGCTGCTGCCGCTGGGACTCCTGAGGTGGAGACACAAGAACAAGAGGAGGACTATGACATTCCTGAGGAGGTGGAGACTGTTATTGGTGAGTTTCAACCTCCACTCAGTTTAAAAAGTTTGTTATTGCAATACCCTAGGAAATTAAATTTGCAATTTATTTTACAGAGCATCTGCTGGCGGGACTGAAAGATAAAGAAACAATTGTGCGCTGGTCTGCAGCAAAGGGGTGAGAGTCTGTTCATATGTCATCTAGCAAACAATAACATCCTTGTTGCTACTTGTCTTTGGAATTTGTATTGTCAAATACAGCAGTTCTGAAAGAGTTTATGTGTCACTATAATCATCAGTTTTATTTAACCCTTCAGCATTGGGAGGGTGACAGGGAGGCTTCCCAAGGAGCTGGCAGATGAGGTGGTTGGATCAGTGCTAGATTGCTTCAGGTAGGTTCATGCTAGGGGAACATTGGCTCTATTTTGTATTTATGTATTTTAGGCCCATATTTCACTTACATGTGCTGTGTTTTAACCTGTGTTGTGTTTGTTTTTTGTCAAGCTTCCAGGAATCAGATAATGCTTGGCATGGAGGCTGCCTGGCACTGGCAGAACTTGGTAGGAGAGGCCTGCTGCTACCTTCCAGGCTGACAGATGGTGTGTGTCTACAAATTCATATTGAAATAGTTATCACAAGACACATGGACTATTATCCGCAATTCAGTTTTTGTTATTTATTTATTTAACATATTTACATTTACATCTTCCATCGACAATTACAAAAAATGCAGATATTTAAATTTTGGAAAGATATTAGGCAATTTTTAATAAGGGTTCTTTCACCTTTTCTGAACAACTGTGAGAACAAGAGATAATATACTGCATACTTGCATTGAACAAGTTTTTTTTTTTTTAATTTTTTACAGTTCACCTTGTGGCAGTGCTATAAACATGTCACATCTGCACCTGCTAGAATAATGAAATCTTTCAGTGCTTCATTAACATTTCTTTTCATGCTGAGGTATGCAGTGGTGAAAGTTGGAGATATTCTGTCCTTATTACCACATGTTCTAAGAGTATTTTCAGAGTTCAGTTGTTAGCAGCAACGAGGCCTCCTTCTCAGAGCCCGTCCAGGTGCTTTTGCTTTCTTGTGTGGTTTATGGCAGTTGTTTTTAGCCTGGCTACTGTTTGCTCTTTTCCTGCCCGTTGCCTTAGCCTCGGTTGTGTGCTTCGCCTTCTTTGAAGAGCCAGGACTTCTAGCGTCTGTATAATCCTCCGAAGGCATATCTGCACTGCTGAAGTCACATGAAGAGGCAGCAGAGCTTGCAATGGCTAGCTGACAGAGTGCCAGTGCTGCAGTCTGCCTCTGGTCACATGGTTCTTCATCCTGCTCAGCGCCTGGGCTCTGTTCAAGATCTTCTGAAGTGCTCTGAGCAGAGCTGTGTACAGGGCTGCTATAAGATGCTCTCAGGCTGAGGTTTAGAGGCAGTTCTTCCCGCTTTAATTTCTCTGTGTCTGAGCAATTCAGTCTGTAGTCAGATGGATTTTTTTCTTTGTCCTGGCTCCTTGTTGAGAGGTTGAGGGGGGCCAGATCTTCTCTGTTGTCCTCACCATCTTCAGGACATGACTCAGAAATAGATGTAGAGGAATATCTGCTGCTGTCAGCTGAGCTGAAAGAGACAAACAAAAATAAAGAGTTAATGGACTAACTAGTAATTGCAAACTAAGTATACTGCATAATTAAGCCAAGAAAGAAAATGTGTTTGTCGGATTTGTTTTTACTTACCCTCCATCCACATGCTGAGTTCTTAACTGCAACAAGCCTTCTGCGGACTCCACCTTTCTTAAGTCAGTTTTGATGGCTGGTTGGGTGGTCGTCTGTGAGTCCTGCATGGTGGTGTAGTGCTGAGCCTCTGTGTCTCTCTGGATGATGTGTGCATGACTGGGTCTGTCAGGGGACCCCAAGGCTGAACAGCCCTCTTTAGGGCTTAGCCTGGTTTCCTTGTCCCCACTTTGCCCGTGGTTGCTATCCTCTTGTGTAGATGTGTTGAGGCTGTTGGGACTGGGATGTGAATGCATGTATAAGTTATAATCCTTAGGCCCAAAGGTTGGGCCGTACAAATCTAAAGGAAGATATCTGGATCCCGTCACTGGCATGGAGAGCTCAGGGGGTCTGTACAGGGTATAATGCAGGGGAGGGGCAGGGTGAAGAGGGTGGCAGTATCTGTATGGGTATGGGGGAAAGAGGGAAGTGTGAGGTGGGGCAATGGGTTGTTGAACCGCAGACCTCTGGGGATCCAGAAACTCTGGCCGGAAAGAAGGAGGGTTTGGCTCATTTGCATTGTGGTTTCCCGGGAGGTAGTATGGTGGATACAGGGGCCGGTCTGGCAAGAGATAAGGAGAGTATTCAGGAACCATGGGAGGGGGGAATGGTTTTATGGTATAGGATGACGAAATCGTGCCCCATGGAATGCCTGGGTGGTTTAAAGTGGGAACAGGAGCTTGTGAATCCTCTGACTGCTGCACAGGTGACTTAAAGGCTTCTGCTCCGTCACTTTTGGGTGTGACAGGAGAAAAAGCAGATGGGCGCGGCAGAGACTTGGCTTCATTACTTTTCCTGTTCTCTCTCTCTGTTACTGTATTATTTGATTTTGTCGCACTCTGGCTGTCCTTACTGATTGGACTGTCACACCCAACATCTACTTCTTCCATGTCATCTGTGCTCTCAGCTTTGTTCTCCTCACAGCTCTGTTTCTCAGGGCTGTTGTTCTGAGCTTCTGGCGGGGGGCTTGGACAATCCTTAGATTTGACAGGGACTCCCTTTGCTACAGTCTTGAACTGTCGGGCTGTTTGCCCATTTTTCTGTGACACCAGGGAGATGGAATTTTTACACAAGTTGTATTTCATGTGGTTGAAGAGATGAGACTTTTCATTGCAGGTGAAAGGACACTGGAAACACTGGTACTTGAAGGGTTTGCCGGGCGGTCGGGGGATGTAGTGAGGCCTTTTTGGCTTGCGTTCCTGAACAGTTTCCATCTTGATTTAAATGCACTTTTTCTGAAAGAAAAATATAGCACATTGCAGTTAGGGAATTAGTAGTGGTTTAGGTTTTCATCAAGTTCCTCTTTTCACAGAGGCTGTCGGGGAATGTGACACTAAAGCACATAAGAGAAACTGAATCAATGCAGTTATTTTAACCATATTGTCACTGGGCTGACAAGTAATGAGGTTAACAGAGTCGTTCAACTGGTTCAGGTGGAGTGGCTTTCATTCGAAGGTTTCTCTCTGAGTGTTTCTTTAACTGCTCAGACAGAAAAATCTCTAGCTGCACAAAACACTGCACCCTCAGGCTAATGTATTCTGTATTTCTATTTCTGTTACTTCACTCTTAGTCGGACACCAAACAGAGTAATATTTAAATATGAAAACCTGTCCACTGTATGCAAAAATACACCCACATGTTTGCATAGGTGCACTCGAGTCTTAGTGTGGTTTTGGTTTGGATTGGTTGTTGCCTACAAATGGCTCTTCTTGATTCTGATATCACTCTGATTATCTATGCTATACAGTCAGAGGGCTGCTAAGGCACTAGGCAGGCAGGCTAGGCACTTACTAACACCGACCTGGAGGGCATGCAGAGACTTGCTTTCTCTCTCAACCTTACTAAACTCCGCTGTCGGCGTGGGAACTACCAGCCACCTGCTTCCCATGAATACACCTGCAGGATGCACTCAGCTCCCAAACATCATCATTTGATCATTTGATGAGCTCACCAGCTCTAAAGACCCATTAGTATGAGAAGTCATTCTTTAATCATCATTATCATGCAAAGTATCAGTTAGCACAATAGTTCCAAGTAGCTAATTGAGTAAAAACCGTCAAGCGGGTGGCATCTGAATCACTTCAGGCTTGCCTTTGAAATGAAACATCACCTAAAGCTGTGAGTTAAGTGTTGCTGGGTGCTGCATGGAGAAACCTGCTTGTCATGCGCTGTCGCAAGAAGTTGTCACTCAAGTTTCTGTCCAACTGTGGTTGCACGCAAAGCCACTCCCTTCTGAAGAACTGAAATCCATTCGAAAATCCACTTAGAATAGTTTATCTTCAATGTGAATATAATCCACTCAAAACCTTCTGTTTTTCAGTTTTTACTCCATAAAAATATATTTGGTTCCTATGAGCACAGATGAGTATTATTTTCTTTCAGACTGCATAACTATGTAAAATTGTTAGAAAATTGTTGAAAAAGGCTACATTACATATGTGTAAGTATCTAACTTGTTTAGGTCTTCTACAGTGACCACACACTTTCAGCATTACCTGTGCATCAGAATGGCACTGCAAGCAAAAGCTAATAAAAATCCTTAGGTAACAGGTGCATACGTAGCATATACCTACCCTAGAGACAGCCTAAAAACTAATTTAACAGTACATTTACAAACCACTGTCTGTTCCGATAACACAGGAAAGCTTTAATGGGTGTTCTGAAAGTAAGTTAAAGTAACTTAATGCCGCTTCCTTGTTAATGAAGGAAGAAGAAAGAAAATAGAAGAATTACCTGCTCTTGTTGTTAGAACAGTGCCCTCTCCGGAGTAGTCAGCCTGCAGAGAGCTGCTTCACAGCCCACAGCCAGCGTTAGTATGTGGTCAGGACGTCCGCTCCAATACGTGCTATAAGTTCAGAGTGTTTGTGAATGTGTGTGATGGTGCATGTGTGTGCTGCATTTGGTGATGTTAGTTGTATGGTGAGTTTTCTCTCTCTGAGGTGTTGTCTCACTAGTGGGTGTGGCTTCAGCCCAAACAGTAGGGCCCTCAGGCAACATTGATGTACCTGATATTAGTCAAGCCTCAAGCGATGATTTACATTATGAGGTGGGATGGGGGCACTGACGCTTTCTTCCTCCTTCCTGCCACATTTCTCTCTTTTGTGGAACTGGCCACACAGTCCTCATTCTGCAGTCACTGTAAATAACATGTTGATTTGAATCAATGTGTCAGGTTTCAAGTGAAGTTCAGTAGCAAGATGGCAAGATCGACATTACATTTGCATACTCGCAGATAAAATTGGTGTTACGTAATATGTTATGTCAGCAGTGATTAAGGAAACTGTGATACCGATTTATAACCTTTATTGCTAACCGCTTAGCTTCCAAATTATAACCATGAAAATCATGTTGTGTTTTCTTTTCCTGATCAATTACTAAATGGCCATGTATGAAAACATTGATGTCACTGATGTTCTCACAGCGCAAAAGGACAGGCACTAGCTTGCATTCAGTTCGGATTCAGATTTATCAGCCATGTCATCGCAAATGTGTTTGGCTTTGTGCCATTTTTTTTGCTTTTAATAAGTTCTTTAAAAATTTCAATTAAGAACACAAAACAGTTTATAGCACCTCCTGCTTCTTTCTTAATGTGACAAAGACGGGTTGCTTTAAATGCATGTAAAACATACTTTAACGGCTCAGTGCATGGAAATCTATTCATGAAAAATAAAAGATGAATCCTTCACTGTTATAAAATAAATGGTACATTTAACACTAGTGGGCTTTCATTCAGCTCTTTGTTGCTAGTCTTAGTTCAAAGACTTTGGGTATCGGTAGTGATATTTAAACTCACCTTACCACAAAGATAGCATATAGTGTATTTTACATGTGTTTTTAACCTAGCTTTCATTCTTTGAGCTTCGATTATTTTGTTATTGGGATGGAAAAAAAAAACACTCACCCTTTCCTGTTGTGTTCTTTCAGTTGTGCCGCTCATTATCAAATCCCTGACCTATGAGGAAAAGAGGGGAGCATGCAGCGTTGGATCCAATGTGCGGGACGCTGCCTGCTATGTGTGCTGGTCTTTCGCCAGGGCATATGAACCCACAGAGCTCAAGCCTTTTGTCACTCAGATTGCCAGGTAACCATCCTCTTCCTTCCTTTTCCATAAAACCTTCACATGCATAGATGGCTGCAAAACCACATCAAGAGCACATTTTGTGTTAATAAGTGGCCCAAATTATTCATTTCACTAATAATATTCCTGTAATAATACTTCACTCTTCCCCACAGGGAAATTCAAAAGCCAGGGTCGACTAGAAAAAAAAAACCTTCTGTACCAGTGCTCTCATTTTAATTTACTCTTCCTGCTGTTTGTTGTAAAGGCAAACTCAACATATCAAAAGTATAACAACACCAGAGATGAAAGCAGAATACAGTGTTTTAATAAACAGTAACATTTCTTTAGACTGCACATTGTGATTTTCATTCTCATTGTTATTTGCATAGACGCTGCATGGTCTGCCTCTGAGCAGTTATTCACTGCCTCAAACCAGTTTTACTGTTCTACATCAATCTTGCATGTTCCCACATAACCAGCAGATGTACTAGTCTAACAGATGCTTTTGTGCTTAAGTAATGAAGTAAGCTGCTGCGTGTCTATATCTTAATCACACATACAAATGTTATTTTAAAAAGATGGTATCATAAGGTGGTCATCACAGGTTATTTGATTTCAAATGTAATCGTTATGTGGTTAAATAGTTAAGGCACTAACAAATGGCAATTATATTATAGATGTGGTTCTTTGTTCATGTTTTCTCTTTCCGTGACACTTTCATTGCTGCCAAGCCAAAGTACATGCTGTAGATCTTTTTGTGGCTCAGTGAGTGACAGCTGCTGTTCTTTTGCACAAATGAATACACGTTTCTGTGTTACCTGACACATTAACAATATATGATATAATGATTTCATAGGGCTCCTGTCTCCCAAAAATTACTCCATGCGCAGTCTTGTTGTGAAAGTCAGTTGTGAACTAAGTGAAGTTTCAAAAGTAGAAAGGTGGGAGGACATTTGGGGATTTATGCATATTTCACTGGAATGGTAACTACCAGGAAGTGTCTAGTGTGACTGGTGACTGCTAGTTGTAAAACTAAATTGTTGCTTATATGCTGTAAAAACTCCCTATTTTCATTATGATGCAGTTTTTGCAGATAAGTATTAAAATCAGGGTATTAAATAGTATTAAAGCTGTTGAAAGCACAAAAAGTGCTTCACAGGAAATAATAAAGTTAAATTGTTTACTAGCAATATACTGTTTTAAAAAAAACAGAAATAAAATGGGGAGTGACATAAATAAAATGCAGTGTGTAAAATGTGTAGTCCCCTTTTTAGACATGCAGTATGTAGCATTGCTTGTCTTATAGACATTAACATTAATGTTTCTTATGACTTTATCCAGCCATTGCAGCAAATCTGTGGAAAAAGGGAAAGAGCTGCATGCTAGCGTGATACTTAGCAGAGAGGGAGATTTGCAACATTTAACATTATTTGCTGACAAAAATTGTCTCTTTTGACAATAGGTGGTCTATAGGCCTAGAATGTAAAATGGCTAAGATGGCCTTGTTCCAAGATCAGAAGCTGGAGCCAGCCTTTAAAGAAATGACTGAATTAATCGGCTACCAGTATAGAGAAACAAGGCTGCACTATAATCCAGTGACGTACATTCAGTGTTTGGCAATAGTAACGGTTTACCTCCTCCTTGATTTCTTTTCTCTCGGTGAGCATGTATGAACCTGTGAACCTCTGACTGTGCAGACCAGCTCTGCAGTGTCAGTTTGAACCCCTGCGACTATCATTATCATCAGCAGTCGCGACAACACCCTCTCTTTCCCTAGCCCACAGGATTGCCAGGTTTCGCCTGTTGCTGTAGGTTTCGGTCGCTGTTTGGCAGCAATGCTCAGACAAGCTGGTTCCTGCTCTATTCATCACAGCTTGATGACATTTACAGAAAACTTACTTTTGTAAATGTGGGACTAAGTGACTTGGGGGCACACACACACACACACACACAGTTGTATCTCTGCTTACACAGTTACAGTTGTGTATTATTAATTATAGCAGCCACAGACATAATTCAGAATATCGTTAAGGGCATTATCCAGAGTTAATCTGGACAGTTTTTGTTTCTAAGCCCTCAGGGCAAGGGCAGTTAGTGCAGCCAGACTAGGGCAGTTAGTGAAGCTCCAGAGCAGGTTCTGGCATTTTGTGAACATGGGAGGAGAGCAAACAAGACCAACATCAGTTAGTCTCACACACACACCCGTCCCTCACACACACACACCCGTCCCTCCTGATACTTGTAGAGGCAGTGTAGAGTGGACTGATGATTTTGAAGTCAAAACAGAATCTGACACAACTTCCAGTATTCCAGGGAAGTCATGATTAATCACATTGCGGCTGTGTTAACCCTCATTGCTGGGAATATGTGCAACGCAACCAAAATCTGTTTCATGGTGATGATGCCATCTGCACTTAGACATTACTTCAATCTGACTCATTGATTATAAAGATGCTGACACTTTTTTGTGCTCTGTAGAACAGGACAGTGGTATTTCTGAGAATGTTAACACACAAGTCTTTGTCAGATCATTTATACTCTCCAATCTATGCTTTCTCTCTGCAGTGCTTTGCTGATCACAACTGTCTTTGACAGAAATGTCAACTGCCGCAGAGCTGCCTCTGTAAGTTCTCTGGTCAATGTCCTATAATTGCTTAACTAAAGATATACATACAGATATATATATATATATATATAGATATAGATATAGATAGATATATATTCAGCATCTAACATCATGTCGTCATCTCTGAATTCAGGGACTGCACATTCCACTTTCCCCTGCTTATTTGCACTACACTGCACTACCTCACCTTAACTACCTACTTATTTATCCTATTTTTATCCTGTAAATACCACAAGTGCCCTTAAATGTTGACTGTTTATTTTTTATGTCTTTTCTATTTCCACTTACTTAATTAGAACTGTGCACTATTTATTTATTAAAGTGTTATTTTTTTAGTATATTGCCTGTTTGCACCGTGGGTCCGAGAGGACTGAAATTTCATCTGTGCTTTATGTCGTGCATGTATAGCATATTTGACAATAAAGCTGACTTTGACTTTGACACAGTTAGATGACAGAAGTTCATTTTTATGATTCATTTTGTTTCAGGCCGCCTTCCAGGAAAATGTTGGCCGACAGGTTTGTGACCACAGTTTTGATTACTGTGTATTATAACTTACAGAATTACTGCGATTTGCAAATATCCATGTCTTGCTCAAACTTGCATTGTTAGTGAAAGCTTTTTAAGCAAAGAAATTGCCTCCAAGTGCGACTGGAGAGCACCAGCAAGCAATTTTATTCACCAACGGTCCTTAAATTGTCATAAATCTGTCTTAAAGTGTTAATGCATTATTTGAATTTGGAACCAAATCCCCTATTTCCCCTCTCAGTTTCATCTGCTCATGGACCATTTTAACACAATGCACTAAAAATGTCTTACCTGTTTGTTGCTTGCTTGTGTCTCAATAGGGGACGTTTCCTTATGGTATTGACATCGTAACTGCAGCAGACTACTATGCTGTTGGGAATCTCAACAAGTGCTATCTGAACATTAGGTAAGACATTGTGTATTCTACACATTGGCAGTTCTTAAACACCTTTACAGGCATATTTTCTTAGCCACACAATACTTAAGTAAAGCTGCTTGAGACAGTACACCTGTACACTGTACTGTACTGTAAGGTAGTTTCTCATCCTTCATCACTCACACATCACAGATTTCAGTTTTACTGTGAAATGAGAAAAATACACTCAGGTCAAAGAAGTGTATCGTGCAGATTTCTGGTTATTAAAGTAACCAGAAATGTGATGATTTGTAATAAATACAGCTAAA